GTTCAGGACTGTTTATCTTGGAAAAGCATGTTTTGGGTTTTTGAGTTAGTTTGTAGCTGGTCTGTGGGGTTATGGCAGGTATCTGGGATGAGTTGTCCAGTTGGACATGATATAATGAACTCTCTTCCAAATACTGTACAGTCATTTATGAACTGCATTTTGGAGACTGTTTCAGTAAGTGATCAAGTCCATTATCTGGAAATGACTTTCATGGCAAGTTTACAATGTTGTTTTCTTCTGGGGAGGGAAGGGGAAGGAGGATTGGAGAATATAAAAATTCATGTATCCTTGTGCCTCCACCTCATCCTTTGGTAATGGGGAGAACATTGTTATCTGAAGCTAAAAGTTGTTTGTTCTCAGTTGAGCAGGTGACTTGCCAATTTGGTGCAAGGATTCACTCTGCTCCTTCTGCATATTGCAAAGCAATCTACACTTTTAATCTCTTTGCAAAGAACCATGCAGTGTGCGGCTGGGGTGGATGCATTTCTGCCTGGCAGATGTCTGGCAAATGACACCAAAATTCCCATCAGGTATGCTGCCATGTAGGCATTTATAGACTAATAGCCTAATATGTCCATTCTACCTTGGAAATAAGGCACCATCTCCCAGTATCCAAGAATGTGGTTGAGATGGACAAGAGTTTCAGTTTGGGGATTGAAAAGGTAGGTGATTGTTCTTGCTTCGGTAAGGAAGAGCATCTTTTGGATATGCAGAGGATGCCCCAAAGATCCTCTTTGCATGTAGAGGCTACACTTCCTGGAAAGAGTTGGGCTGCTGGAAGTCTGCTGCAACTGCCCTTTCTTCCTACCTGCTAATCCTGACTTTCACCGTTGCTGAGTTTAGCATTTAATCTCCAATAGCCTATGTGAAAATTTGGTTTCTTAATCTTGTCTATTGAAAGGTTTTGGTGGAACCAATAATATTTATAATTTCTTGTATACTTGTACTTTATGCTTTTCTGACAATAGTGGTGACCATGGCCAAATTACTAAAAAAGCTTCATAGAACCCATATAATTCATAACATAGGTGCTGTTTCTTGAGTTTCTATAAAAATGCATCAGTTAAAGGTAAGGTTAAATGTATTCTGAAGGTAAAGTCTATAAGCCCGACACTGAACTTTTTTTCAAAGTCTGAGTTATGAACATGTTTTAAATTTCAGAGGCTCTTCGAGATTCCCAGAAGTTTTAATACAGTACTGCAGAATTTAAACTTTTTTGTGAATAGTTAAGAAGCAAACAGACTGTATACCTGATATTTTAAGACCAGGGGAAATGCCAATGAACCAATTCCCAGGTTGCAGCCACTCTAATTGGAGTGCCAAGAAAGGGCAGGATTTGGCCTATTCTTATTTTCCCATGTGCCTGCCCCAAGGGTGGGAGTGGATGCAGGATTACTATTTGGCAAATACCCAGGCAGTTATTTGTCCTCCACTCATATTTCTTGCACTGGCCAATATCTGCACTGGAATTTAAGGAACAAGATTAGCCAAAGGAGGAAGAAAGGGAAGTGTCTCTTGCTTTTTTATTTCTCATTCATTTAGTGGGTGATATTAAAAGATAGCTGCCTGCAAAGGGAGCCTCAAACTGTTCACATGAAATACCTTCCCCCAACGAAAGAGATGGTGAGGGAGATACATTCTGAGCTTTGCTCTGTTTCATGCTTGCATCCTCTAGCCAAGTATAAGTGGAAATGTCTTTGCACAGGAATACCAACTTGGCTAGAACCATATGATCACTGCAGACTAAAGGCTCTTCTGCATGATCCACTAACTTCAGCAATGCTTTAGCAGTGTATTGAGAGAGATTAAACAGTTGATGACACCCTATCCTGGCATGGAAGCAGCTGGCATTCATGCATTCCTGCTCTGCTTCAAACATGCTTTCTAACTTGCCCCTGTGAGCCCAGCTGTGTGGGGTTTTTTAAAAACTTTTTTCTTAAACCAGGTGAAATTCTTTTCCAGATCCCCTTCTTGCCCAAGTGACAGGAAGAACATTAAAATAGTTATGCTTTTTTCCCCCACCAGTCTGCTAGCAGACAGGAAGGTGTTAAGTAAGAGAGGGAGTCAGTGGAGAGGTCTATCAATGGAAACCACATGTCCTCAAAGACCTGCCCATGAAAAGGAAAATGATTAGCACTTGCATTCCTGGCACCAATGGAAGAGGTAAAGAAGCAGGGAAATCCATCAGTCATAAGCTATGGAAACTCCAGCTGGACAGGACACCTGGCTGGCATCATTGCCATAGCTAAAGAACAGATTGAAATTCAGACAGCAATTTCTTAAGCCAGCTTCCTTTTCAGCTGGTTTCAGCTGTTCAACAACAGCAGACAAGCTGCTTAAGGATACTGTGTGGAAGAGCCCAAGTAGAATGACAGCCAATGGTTATTGCTGTTTTTAATACAGTGAAGAAGGTAATTGCTAAAGTTTACATTTATGCGAGAGTTAGGACACATTGCAGAACCATAGAGATTATCTCATCCAAGGACAGTCACAATGAGAGAAAAGAAAGTGATGGATTTGGGGCAGCTAAATGGATACTCAGCAATTTTCATACTGTTGAACAAAGAGGGCCTGCAGAAGAGCTGTCCCTCCTCATTTTGATTGATTGATTGGTTAATTATGTGCTATCAAATCACTGTCAACTCTTAGGGACTATGTAGATTTTCTCCATGATGATCTGTCCCTAACCTGGTCTTTCAGATCTTCCAGTGGTGCGCTCATTGCCACTCAGTCCATCCACCTTGCTGCTTGCTTGCTTTCTCAGCATTACAGCCTTCTCTACAGAGCTAGGTCTTCGCATAAAGCAGGAGTCCTCAAACTTCTTAAACGGGGCCAGTTCATGGTCCCTCAGAATGTTGGGGGGGCCGGACTATAGTTTGAGGAAAGCTGCCGGACCCGGCATACCTGTCATGTAGAATAGACCGGCTCTGTGATCTCCCTCCTTGTGCATCGCCTGCAGCTCCTGACATAGCCCTGACACTTCCGCTTCTGACAGACAGCAGCGGCGGCCAATCAGGCGGGCGGGCCGCATAAATGACCCTGGCGGGCCGCATCCGGCCCGCGGGCCGTACTTTGAGAACCCCTAGCATAAAGTCTCCAAAGTAGAATAATTTTGTACCTCTAGTGATAACTCAGGGTTGATTTGTTCAATGATCCATTGCTTTGTTATTGTGGCTGTCCACAGTATTCCAAGAGTCTTCTCCAACACCAAAGTTCAAGAGGTAATTTTGTCAATTCTCTTCCTATCCCGCTTCTTCAAAGTCCATCTTACTTCAGTAGGATTTTCAAATTAGAGTAGCTTATGCCTATGATAGTGGGAGGCTGGTATTATCTGGGTTTGAGGCAAGGAGGGAGAATACTATTTGTCTTATATGCTGCTCAGTCCCATTTGGTCTTTGACCAACTGCAAAAGCAGCGAACATGCTTCTCCTGAGACATAACAGTATGGTTTCAATTTTCCCAAGTTTCAGCATCCTTTTTGGAAGCTGTTTTGGTTGTTTACCGTGATGCCATTACTACTCCCACGACAGTGGTCTCTATCTTAAGTTCCCCATAACAACCACATTGAGGTCAGTTTCTCTTACTGCATGAAAATCTATTGAGCTTTTCCCAAAACATTAACAGGGATCAACTTTTCATTATATCATTTTTTTTTTTAATCATGTAAAAAAGAGCAGCTCGTTCTAATAAATCCTCTCCCTCCTTCAAGGTTTGGTGACAGATATCTGTCCAAGTATGGCTACAGGAACAGTTGCATTCTGGGAAGGACTTAGAACACTGCAGGCTAAAAGCCAAAATATAGACGTTGGCAACAAAAGAGCCACTAGAAAATGTGATGAGCTGTCATCCAGGAAAGAAGTTGCTGATGTTCTGCTGCTATAAGCTGTTTGTGGGGAACCAGACCATTGCTTGTCACTGCGAATGGTGGTGGGAAGGCAGTAGCCTATACCTGGCTTCTGAGGATAGGGAGTGGGTTAAAACGTAGGATGTAATATGATGAGTCTGTGCCCAGGGCCGTTTGACTAAGTAGTTTTTGGCTAAACACTCTGGGCAGCCCCTAGGGCTAAAAGTTGTTGCCCATGGCTTACATTCAGATCCCATGCTCCCAGATGTAAGGACCAAGATCAAGTGCATTACAGATGTAACAACCAAGGTTTTTTTGTGTGTGGGGGGGTGCTCTTGGCAAAGTTTGCCAGCTTGGGTGGAACAGAAATGGTGCCTCTGTAGAACTGAGGTATTCTCTTGGCTTGGAATGGAATCAAGCAGCATTTATTTATCCTGCTTGGCTTGTGGAGTAGCTGCAAAGGGACAGCTGTTTCTACTGGGGCACAGCCAAGATACCAGTGATATTTGATCTGCTGTAAGTTTGGAGAAAAATTTCCATTTAATCTTGGAAATTGGGAATCTGAAATGGGAGGAGAGAATTCCACCTTTCCTAGTTCACCAAATGGACATCCATTCCTAGGATTTTTTTTTTTTCTATTCCAGAGGGAAGATAAACTTGCTTGCTATTTCTGAGCACAGCCAAGATACCAGTGATATTTGATCTGCTGTAAGTTTGGAGAAAAATTTCCATTTAATCTTGGAAATTGGGAATCTGACCAGCCATGCTGGCTGGGGAATTCTGGGAGTTCACCAAATGGACATCCATTCCTAGGATTTTTTTTTTTTCTATTCCAGAGGGAAGATAAACTTGCTTGCTATTTCTGAGTGTTTAGCAATGAGGTATCAGTTCTGCCATTTGATTGGCTAAGCAGGTGGGAGGCTTTATGACACACCCAGGAATTTGCTATCACTCTTTCCTAGACTAGTCCTGCTTGAACTACATGGTGGTTGGAGGTAAGTCTGGTCAGAACCTCTGTGCAGGTGAATAGATAGGTTTTCTTGAGCCAATCTCAAGAGGGATAAGCAAACAAAGGGTGGTCTGTCACTTATATTAAGGCCCCTCTGTGCTTTTCTAACAGCTAAAGCTTAACTACAATTACTACTTCACTCTGCAGGACAGCCTAAACATGCCTTATATTTGATCTCAAAGAACAACTGTGCACTCTTCAGCCTATTGTATTCATATCCTGTGAACAGCAGACCAGCATAGTACACACTAGTGCCTCCTGGTGGCACATTTAATGCATGCAGACAGAGAAACCGGGCTATGCTGGCCCTGGGTGTGTGACTCCGTGGGATGCATCTGCAGTTGTTTGCACCTCTACAGAAGCAGCTTCCTTTATGAAAAGCAGAGGACTAGAGGCCTTCTCATGTTGAATGGTCAAGTCTAAGTCTGATGAACAGAACTTGCACTAAGTCCAGAGGCGTTAGTGGTGATTGCTTCAGTCTTTGAAGACGCACACCCTCCTTTTGTGGTTATGTGTTCTGATTTCCATATGGTATGTTCTCTGATCCAGTGCTATAAAGTATCTATTACTTTCTGTTTTATTTTACTGGGTTTTAGATGTAGTTGAAAAAAACCTGGCCTGTCTCTACAACACCTAAAATGATGCTTCTGAATCTTGATGGGATCCTTTTCACTCTAGTCTCCCCCTGGCTACCTCTTTCTCTGGTTGATTGTTAAATGTTACAGCCAGGAAATAAGGCTGTGGAGTGACATGGAAATTAGTTCTTTTAACTTTCCCTTAGGATGGATTTTGATCATGCCTAGGATCCAGGCATTAGTGACCTAGCATGGGAGGGAAGACTTCTGGTTACTTGTTTTGCCTTGCCTTGCATCTGCATTTGCTTATGTAAACAGCTCAGACTGGTACAGAGACACCATGGCATGTGTGTGGAAAATTTCAGTTTTTTCCTGTGACATCTCAAATTAAAGTATCTGAGTACTAGGTGCTGGGAGAGGTCTTGCCTTTCTGGCAGGCTTAGGATTTGAATTTTTACTCCCTGCCAACTTTGTGATGAATAAACTCTTGCTTTCCTTTCTTTCTACAGTTGGGGCATGGCCGTCAATGTGTATTCCACGTCTGTGACAAGTGAGAACCTGAGTCGTCATGACATGCTAGCATGGGTCAATGACTCTCTGCAGCTCAACTACACCAAGATTGAGCAGCTTTGCTCAGGTACTGTGACAACAAAGGAACTTTGGTAAAACATTCTGTTAGAAAACTTCTACTGGAACAAAACTCATAACATTTTAAGTGTTCCACTGTGGGGAAGAGCAGGATTTATTTATTTATTGAGCTTATACCCTGTCATAATACCTCTCCACCCTGGGAGTATATTTTTGCAGATCTAGGGTGCAAAAATCTGGATGACCTCCAAATGGCAGCAAAGAAGTATAGAAAATGCTGGGTTTTTGCTGCTAGTGGTTGTCTGGATTTTTGCAGTGTGATCTAGTAGCCTTAAGTATAAAAATAGTTGGAGTGGTATCTACTATCCAGTCTTTAGAAAAAAAATAACAATAGCAAAACTACACTGCTTTCTAAAACACACATAATACATATTCTGTGCTTTTGGCAATCTGCCTGTAGAGCTCAATGAAAGAAAGTAACACAGCTTTTGGATTGCACAACCTGAAAGTTCAGTTGCAGAACAAAATATTTATACACACACAGACACATATACACACATATGCACAGTGTATATGCATTTGGAAACCTTCCTGAAAATGAAAGCCCACACACATAGAATATACAAGTACACATGACATGACATGCAACAACCATCTACCAACAAGAGAAAATAAAAATAGCAATAAACTTACATACCAGGCAGGCCACATCCTTTTTTTATGTCCAGTTTGTTGTCAGCTCAGTATTATATTAGGAGCCCCATTATGTGGCCTCAGGCTGCCATTTCTCTGGAGGATGAGGGAAGAGACTAGGACAGCTACCCGCCACTGCCAGGTCAAGAAAATCCAGCACAAAATATTCAGGTTGATACTTCACACTGAATCCTATTTCTTTGTTAAGAAAATACAATCGCTATGTAACATAACCTGTTACACCCCGACAAACCATATTATGGCTTAATTGTATAGCTTTATTTATACAACATGCTAAGACAATGGATGGGGTCCCACAACACACTGAAATGCAAACTACCCAAACCCATTTTAGCCTAGTTTAGCATATTGTATAAATCTAGCCAGCATGTTAGTATATGTGCTAAGCAGATTACAATGTACTTCACACTACTATATTCTCAAATCTAATTGATGCAATTGAATTCTCCCCAAATAAAACAAGTAGACCTTAATTGGGTCTGACTGGGAGTGGTGGTGTTTGTTTATTTTTTTATTTTTGCAGGAGAGATAGATTGATTGATTATATTTAAGGGGATGAAAAGTTGAAGAAACCTTCCCCTCTCTCTCCTTTCCTTTTAATTAGTCCCAATACTGTGTAACTAATCAAAAATACACAGTATTGTTAAATACAGGCAATAGTTGAAATTTGTCGGTCATCTCCAAATTGCTTTTCTCTCCATGAGGATGCAGTTCAAAATTATTCCTTTCATCTGTAAACATGAGTTTAACTAATTCTTTTTTGTCTGCACTCATCTCTTCTCCTCAGTTAACTCCAGCCCATAGGAAAGGTGGTGGAAACCTATTACTGGATAATGCACTCATTGTGTCTCCACAGCTTAGGGGTATTTTAAGAAGCCCATTAGTTTTGTCAGAATAGTCAAAAAATGTGGAACAAAACTGCCCATTTTATTCTGAGCCTGGATACACTGAACACCCAAAATAGCCTTTCTGAGCTCAGATCATTTGATGCCTGGAACATTTTCTGTATATTTTATGGGATTTTGGCTGGCCAGACAATTCTCTGGCCAGCAAGAGATTGACTAGGGCTCAAAAAGCCTGGGTTGTGCTTGTTAGAATTAAGAAGAAGGCAGTTGAAAATCTAATGAGAGGAGGATTTCCAAATTGTTGTAGATGGCAGGTTTCTGATCCAGTTGTAAGATGCAGCAGGTGTGAGTGGAAATTAGTGTGTGTGTGTCTTTCTGTCCTTGACAGGGGCTGCCTATTGCCAGTTCATGGACATGCTATTCCCTGGCTGCATTCACTTGAGGAAGGTGAAGTTTCAGGCCAAATTGGAGCATGAATATATACACAACTTCAAGGTGTTGCAGGCTGCATTCAAGAAGATGGGTGTGGACAAGGTGGGTTTCTGCTAGACAGAAGTCAGATACAAGTTTTCCTTTTGTATCATCAGTTGCTGTTGAGGCTCCCTGACATAGGCTGAAATACACCTTTCTTGCATAGTTAGATAAGACTAAACCACTAGAGTGGGTGGCTTCTGTAGTTGCTCTTTCTTTCCCCACTTCAATTTTTGGCTGGGCTGGTATGTGCAGTAATTAATGTACTGTATCTTTATGCAGTTCCATGTAGAACTAGATAGCTGTGTCCCATAATTTTCTAGAAGTCAGTCTTCCAATATAGGAATTACCAGTTTGGTGCATTCTAGGGGAAATCAATGTTCTATCTCCAGAATGGTGACTTTTATATATCCCTGGAGTTAAACTAGAATCTCAAGTGCTGTGGGCCAGCTTGTTGTTTGGGAACACTTGGTATATAAATGTACAAAATAAATAGGCATCTTGGCCCCATCTCTCAAAAAACTTGCTCAAGGAAATAAACTGCATCATTAGCGTTGTTAGAGACATTTTATTTGTTTTAAACTTCAACTAGTCCAGAACGTAGCGATGTGAGCAGTGATGGGCATGCCTTGATATGCCCACGTGACACCTTTGCTTTGTCAACTGCACTGGTTGCCAGTTTGCTTCTGGGTGTAATTCAAGGTGCTGGTTGTTACCTACAGTATAAAGCCCTATATGGCATAGGGCCTGGTTACTTGAAGGACTGCCTGTCTCCCATAATATCTGCCTGGCCAATTCAATTTTGCAGGGTTGGTGCACTATCGATTCCTTCAATTAAACAATATCATCTGTCGGGACCCCGGAAGCACACCCTCTCTGCAGCAGTGTCTGCCCTCTGGAATGAGGTTCCCTCCAAGATCTGGATGGCCCTCATTCTGCTTTGTTGAGAGGAGCCATGAAGATTTGGCTATTTGCTCTGGCTTTTGGCAAGGGAAAGTGAGACCTCTTGCTTTATTCCAGTGTTGTCCAAACTTGGCCATTTTAAGATGAGTGGACTTCAACTCCTAGAATTCCCCAGCCAGCCATGCTGGCTGGGGAATTCTGGGAGTTGAAGTCCACTCATTAAGATGAGTGGACTTCAACTCCTAGAATTCCCCAGCCAGCCATGCTGGCTGGGGAATTCTGGGAGTTGAAGTCCACTCATTAAGATGAGTGGACTTCAACTCCTAGAATTCCCCAGCCAGCCATGCTGGCTGGGGAATTCTGGGAGTTGAAGTCCACTCATTAAGATGAGTGGACTTCAACTCCTAGAATTCCCCAGCCAGCCATGCTGGCTGGGGAATTCTGGGAGTTGAAGTCCACTCATCTTAAAGTGGCCAAGTTTGGACAACACTGCTTTATTCCCTTTGGTCTGTTGTGCTTGCCACCTTTTGTAATTTCTTTATTTGAGCGGGAGTCGGGCAGCATACAAGATGATGATGATGATACTTTCATTAAGCAGGTAGTTTTTTCATATACACATACCCAGACACATTCTACCAACTCCAAATTGTGGTTTACAAAGATTGATGTAAAATAAAAAATGCTATCCTGCTAAAAATCTCTTAAAAATCTCTTTCTCTATTCTTTATGATTTGTTACATTTGAACTTCGTTTTGCATTAACCTTCTTTTTTAACCATAAATTAAACAAATTGAAGCTTTTTATTGATTAATTTGTTTACTTAATATACCAATGTTTTATTCAAATGAAACACTCAAGTCTGTTTATAGTTTAAAGTAACTTACATGTTACAGAATACAAAAATTAAAAATAGATAATTAAAACAAATCTTACAATTGCTAACTATTAAGTCATCCCAAGTTTGTATACTGAGAAGTTTGAAGAAGGAATGGTATTAATTTTCCAAAGAAATATGATTAATTTGTTTGAAAATTACATCCACTCCAGCAATAGGTAAAGAGAACAAGCAACCTAGTCTATTAAAAATTTCAATGTATACATAATGTTCCTGTATAACTAGAGACTTCTCAGTTCACTATAAGGGAGGTCAAGAAACAAGGGTTTTTAAATGTAGGAATTACACACGTACAATGCATTCTACTCTTAAGTGGAGCAGTTTGTTGGAATAAAAACGAAGCAGTGTGTTACTACATGTATACTATGAATATGCTTTGTATTATTTGAAAGCCATTCAAATGCCATACCACTCAGATTTATACATTCTAATAACTAGCAAATTCCCATTTTAAAGTTATATTAAAATAAATGACCTGTATTAGCAGTGTTAGATTTCTTACTAACACAGTGCCTGTTCTTCAAGTCTGCCTGTGCTCTGGCCCACTGAACATCTGTTATGTTATATTGTATGAATACTGAAAAGTGAGGAAAATATGAATTTTGCAAAGTTTACTTTTTGTGGACTTTTGCCATTACAGATCATCCCAGTGGAGAGGTTGGTGAAGGGAAAGTTCCAAGATAACTTTGAATTCATTCAGTGGTTTAAGAAATTCTTTGATGCCAACTACGATGGAAAGGAGTATAATCCGTTATTGGCGAGACAAGGCCAGGAAGTGGCACCCCCTCCAAACCCAGGTGATCAGATCTTCAACAAACACAAGAAACCCATTGGCACTGCAGGTAATGTTGCTAGAGACAGCTGGGACCCCAGGATCCCGCCTCTAGCATGACCTCAGCTTCCTGGCATCCAGCTTGGCAACTCCTGGGGAGCAGTGGGAGGGAAGGAGAGAAGACCCAAGCTCTTACTGATCTGAGAGGCAGCTTCCTGTTTAATGGAAAATATATGGATTTTGGAATGGCAGTAAGTGAAGGTAAAAATGAGCAAGGGTCAAACCAACTGACAAGGCACTGCCTTCCTGTTCCCATGGAAGTTACATATTCCAGCATACAGCTGTGATTTTGGTGGGGACTGGCTGCATTGATTGCATCGTGGAACCTCTCATCTCAGCAGATACTATAACCAGGCAAGCCAGTGGAACCTAGATGCTTTTCTCAAAAGAAAAACAGTGCTAGGACTAGCCAAACTTTGCCTTCTTGGGAGAAATCTCTGCAAATCTGGCCAAAAGGTTCATTCTGTTTAGAGCTGCTTTTGCTCACTTCTCTTCTACTAATAAAATGTTCTACAGGAGTAGGGGTGAGGTGAAGGAGAGGCTTTTGCAAAGTAATACACTGAGTCCTGGAATCAGTAAGATAAATCCAGATCTCCCACATCCAAGTTCATCTGACCATCAACAGAACCTTGGAATTGCATCACTTCGTACATCAAAGATTTAACACTAGCTGTTTGGGGGGCCTTCCCAGTATTGGCCAATTAGCTGTGTTGTGTCTATCCTCCTAGCAGTCTGGAAGGGGATAACTTGCTCATGGCCACTCCAAGAGTCTTATTGCAAGCACTGTAATTCCTAGCATGCCCCATTCTTGGCCATATTGATTGGTGTTCCTGGAAATTATAGTTTAGGGCCATAGATTCTCCATTTTTTATACCCCCCCCCCCAAAAAACGTTCTGAACCTGGCCATCTGCATTCAGACTCTCCTCTTCTGCTACATGTTGTCTTCAAGGTACTTCCTGGTATTGCTATTCAGGATGTGTTGTCTCTGAATTTTACCAGATGAAGAGTCCATGCTTTCAGCAGAAGTGAGAAAAACTCCCATTCCACACTAGCATTAAAGCTCCTGCTGGATCTCAGAGTGGCTGTTCATCTTGATGTCCTACTGAAGTCAATTCTGATGTATCAGCAAGCAGCTGAAGAAAAAAGGAGTGGAGTTTTAGACACAATTTAGCAGAATAACGACGGTTCTAATAGTTAGCTTTCTTCTGAATGAAACTCCTGCTCAAGACGGAGATGAGTTGTCTGCCTATTGGTGTAAGCCATCTAGAGCTAGAAGTTCCACAGGAATGAACTAGAGGCACCAGATGGAATGATAAAGCCACCCACATTGACTGTTTGAGAAGGGGGGGGTCCAAAGGCTGCCTCCTGGTTCTGCATGTCTTTCCCCAGCTGGGCTTGCTTGCTTTGCTGTAAAGGGGCAGCAGCACACGCTGGGGTGGCTTTGGGACCGGCTGAGGGAAAGCTGCATGTAGCTTTATGCCGCCACTTTTGTTTGAATTCTGTTCATGGGTAGGAAGGTGTAATGCCTGGCTTCTCCAGAGTCTGTCTTTCTCTGGTACTATTAAGCACGAGAACTCTGTTTTGGCTGGTCCTTTCTGTGTCCAGTCAGTCTCAGCAGACAGCACTGGGACTCTAGCTGTGCATATATGCGCATCCTTTATGTCTCAGGCTTTCGTGTGGCCTGGCTCAGCAATGGCGGGTGGGTCCCCTTGATGAAGGGGCATAGAGTAAACCTCTTTTCTTTTCCTTCATAAAGTTCCACAGAGAACCTCCCCAACAGGCCCCAAGAACTTGCAGAATCCAGCCCGAATGAACGTCGCTCCCAGCAATATTGTACGGAAAAATCCTCCTTTGGCCCGGAATGGGGGCAGTGAAGCTGATGCCCAGATCCTGGAGCTTAACCAACAGGTGGGGCAAGAAGGTAGTGCAGTGAGGGACAAACAAAGAATGGCTTCCTTTAGGAACCCCGAGCCTTGCAAAGGCCTTTCCTGTCTTCATTATTATCTTGGTCATGTTACGAGCTGCAGGGGTTCTGCCTCTTGCTCTGCTATGGCGCTGGGTGCTGTGAAAGTGGATATGCTCTTTCCTCAGATGGAATGGCAGGAAATCCATCCTGGTTCACTTTCTTAAGGAGTATCTATTACTCTGAAGCAAGGCGCCTGATGGCATTTGTTCTTCCTGAGTTAAAATTATCATTATTAATATGCCATGACAAATTTGAAGGGGAAAATCCTTTCATTCTCGGTACATTATCTGATAATGTTCCTGTTTTGTGCATGAGATGGGGGCTTTCCATCCTTCCTGCCCCAATGATGGATGCTGTATTATCGTTACATTTTTAGGTTGCTTTTTTTCTCAAGGACCTTGTGATTGAGATGGGATGTCATGTGAGGGGGGGCTTTGGGCAGGTGATGCCTCTTATCAACCCAAAGTTTCTCCTTCATGCCTTGCTGTCCTTCCTTTGCTAAGAAGGGACCAGTTGTCCTCAGCTGCCTTTTGCATTTGGAAAAGAACTCACTTTCTCTGTACAGAAAGAGGAAGAGATAAGTGCTCCTTCCACTGGAGAAAGGAAATGGATCTGGGGAAAGGTTTTATCCATGCTTCCAAGGGCTAGATCAGTCTTCCCCAGTGTGGTGCCTTTCAGATGTGCTGGGACTGCAATTCAGCCAGCCCTGACAGAATTCTAGCAGAGTGGATGAGCTCCAGGCACCCTCCGTTAAACACTGTCCTCTTGTGGGACTTAGGAAGTGTGCCTTCTCTGTTGCGGCCCTCACCCTCTGGAACAGCATCCCCCCAGAGATGAGGATGGCTATTCTCCTAGGGTTCTGGAAAACTTTGAAAACCTGGCTTTGGTCCCAGGCCTGGGGTTGATGTTTTTGGTTTAATTTGTGTTGTTTTGTTGATTTTGTTTATCATATCTGAGCTATCTGTCTGATTTTATGTTTTTAGCTGTTTTTATGTTTTTTCTAGTTTTGTACACCACCCAGAATCCACTGGAGGTGGGTGGCCAATACATTTAAACACACACACACACACACACACACACACACACATTTGGAGGGTACTAAGTTGAGAAAGGCTGGGCTTGATGCAGAGGTAAACTGAAGGTTCTCCAGCTCATTCTCCACCCATTTGGTTCTCCTGACAGCTGTATGCTATAGATTAGATGGAGGGGAAGGTACAAAGATCAGGCAGAGACCCACTTGTTCAGTGTCTTGCTGTCTAACTGGTTTCCAGCAGGGCATAAATTAACAACCTTTTGTTTGTGTCCATGTGAGCCTTTCCCACTGGCTGCCGTTTTATAAGAATACCCACATTAATTCAAAATTCCAAATCTACCCAGTATCTTGAAATGGTTATAATACCTGTTGTATAGCCATGATGCAGATAGTACCTGACACATAATACACTTTGGCTGGGCTCACACAATGTGCCAAACATGAATTAATGAAATACATTTACTGTGTTTACATAGCATGCTATGTCCAAACAAATCAATCATATTATGACTTAATGTTTTTAGCTGTTTTTATGTTTTCTCTAGTTTTGCACACTGCTGAATTGGACAGCCAATACATTTAAATATAAGTAAAGAAATGACATCATGCCCAGGTTCACGTTACAGACAAAAACAGTGGTTGGGTTTCCATAACATACTGAACTACCCAGTCTACTCTAGTCACAGTCTAGTGATTGTGTCAATCTGGCATTTGTGTCTGAGCAGTGATCCAAATCCACATTCTCCTTGCTTGTATGGTGTCAGGACATCTCACCACTTTTCCTCCATCCAAGCATTTATAGCATATGAGATTATCCTTCCAGGAAGATCCCCAATCTTTTCAGTCAAAAACCAGTGCATCATTTAAGCTCCCTTAAGTTTTGTTTGGCTGTTTTTTTCTCTGGCTATTCTCTACCTACTCTAGATGACAGGAACTTTTTGTTTCCAAGTTAAAATTGGAGTCATCAAGCAGTGCTGTTTTAGAGTCCTGTTGCTTTTAGAATCAGTTCCATCAAACAAATATGCTTTATTAGTTTCCTTTAGTGTTCCAGATGCTTTAGTGAAGGAATGGAGTGTTGCAGAAACTTAATTGTTAAATAAGATGAATCTTCTTGTGTTATGAGCTATACATAACAGGGGAATAACTGCCATACAGTTAAGTGACCATAGAAAAAAATGGCAGATGGAAATTGAGGGATTTCTTCCCAATCCCAGATAAGATTTAAAAAAAAGAGTGTCTGTTTAAAACCTGTAATGTTCTTATGAGGTTGGGAAATTTGATGGTTTATTAAAGTAGAACCTGTTGAATAACCTAGTATAAAACAGTATTTCCCCTGCCCCAAACTTAAGAACTTCAGGAGTAAAATTAGTTGTCTGCAGAATGTGTAATTTTTTCTCTTTCAGAATAGAAAGCCCCTCTCCCAAGGAACTGTAATTGCTTCCAAAGGCTCTTGCTGCTTCTACACACCACTTAGCAAATACTTTATGCCCAGACACTAGAGCTGCAATGGTTGGGTACCTCTCAGTTGCAGAGTTTGCTTGCCTGGCATGCTGGGCATGGAGTGATGAATGACACATGGGCAGGGCTATCATTACTGCAATCATACATGTGTTCAGTTTTGTTGGCTGTCTTTACTCTGACAGTTGATGGATTTGAAACTGACAGTGGATGGGCTGGAGAAAGAGCGTGACTTCTACTTCAGCAAACTGCGGGACATCGAGCTGATCTGCCAGGAGCATGAGAGTGAGAACAGCCCCATCATTTCAGGCATCATAAGCATCTTGTATGCTACAGAGGTCAGTGCACGGTGGGAGCAGCTTTGATCACTATTCCCAGGGGGTTGGAGTTTAGGGCTTGCTTATCCATGTCTGCAGCATGAGCCACATGGCTTGTATGCATGGATAAAGAGAGTGAGAGAGAAGACACTTTCTCATGACTGTATCTCAGTATTTCTCACTATGTTCTTGCAGGAAGGCTTTGCCCCTCCAGAGGATGATGAACTGGACGAGCAACATCCGGAAGATCAGGATGAATATTAGCTGTGCGAAAGCGCACGTAATTGCTCGCTGTCTGGCCATGACAGATCACCCCATGCTCCTCACTTACCATGGACATTTAAGGTTTTGCATTGTACAGCCTCGTCCTCCACAGTCACACATTATAACAGGTTTCTACCAACACAAGAGGCCCACAGTGGTTTCTGTAGGTTGTGCAGATCCCACAGGAAGCCCAGAGCTACATGGTAAAAATAGGCATCAGTAGACGGGCAAGATCAGCACTGTAAATACCTTGTAGCGGGGCAGGATTCCTGGTTTGGTGGCCTGGCTCCTTCCCCTCCTTCTCCTGGCCCATCCCATCTTTCCCTATTTATTGATTTCAGTTGTCTTGGGTGTGAGTGCTGCAATCCCTTGTATTATATTGAGAGACAAATTCTTTGTATATTTTTCCTTACTGGATTTCACTAGCACTTTGCCTGTCATATTCATGCCGAGCCAAGCTCTGGCACCCCTCCTGGCTTCAGAAAATTTGGGAGCATGTGAGCCTGAAGGCCAAGCTCAGCACTGGAAGCTCGCTCAGTGGGTGGGTGCAGGGGGAGGGGGAAGAGACTGGATTGGAATATTTATTTGGGGGTGGGTGGGGATTTTAATAATGCTGCTGAGAATATGAGATTTCCAGCCATTCTACCTGATATATCAGGTAGACTCAAGGAGAAGAGAATTTACTAAATGGTGGCTTATTTTGTTTGGGGTTTCATGGGAGATAATCTTGGAACATGGCAGCCCTGCTGTTTGGAAGAGAAGCATGAAGGGAAGCGCCCCAATAATGTTCTGTTTTCCATAAACACCACTGGTTGCAGTTGGGACCTGCCATTGGGAAGGGCTCAGGCCTTTGCTGTCCACCTGTGGTTCTGACCTTACCAAGGCTTAGTTCATGCTGTTTGGACAAGTTTGCCACACAGACTCTGCCTTGACCCACTCCCTGTTTGCATTGCCTGTTCAATCAGACACTGGTGTGCAAAGCCTGCATCTGTGTTGCATTTTATTTAAAATAAATTTGTGTGGTTAAAATCTGTCCTCGTGTGTGTGCCATAAAACCCCATCTCCACTTGAGTGGACAGGCACGGTTGCTGCCAAAAGATCAGTGCACCAAATCCAGAGGCCCCAGGCCAGTGATGTACCAGGTGGCTACAGCAACTCTGAGCAGACCAGCAGCCCCCGCCTTTGGCAGGGCCTTTCCCGGTTTCTTACATAGGGAGATTTTCCTTTCTGGCAGCCATGAAACTGAGGGCTGTTCTTCAGGAAGAAAAGAAGAAGCAAGCACACTACTCAAATGCAAGGTCCTTTGCTAGAGAGCAGGCAGTCCCATTGCTCAGCTTAACTTTAAGTCTCTTTCCCAGGTGAGGTGATCTGTTACATCCCACCAAGTGTTTTCATTTGAATAAATACTTCCCATTTTCCCAGCTAGAGCAGGTACTTCTTTTACAGCTGCATAGCAATTTTTCTAGCTAGCATCTTTGTTCTTTTCACTACTCAATTCTTTTTTATTCTTTTAGGTAGTCCTCAGTGGCTTGTATCCATTTGTTCAGTGACAGTTCAAAGTTACAGCAGCGGTGAAAAAACGGGCGTACGACTGGTCCCCAATGTTCTGGCCATCACAGCACCCCTGTGGTCACGTGATCACAATCCGGGTGCTCAGGTCCCGATTACGATGTCGCAGTGAGCTGCGGTCACATGATTGCCATTTGCAACCTTCCCTGCTGGCTTCCCACAAGCAAAGTCAATGGTGAAGCTGGCAGGGAAGGTTGCAAGTTGCTCCAGTAAGTTGCTCCTGCTTGCAACACTCCCCTACCCATGCGCAGCCGTCTGCTGGCCCTCCTAGGCCTCCCCAACTCATGCACAGCCTGCACCAGCCAGCCCAGGGCCTCCCCACTTCCCTGTGGCACCCCTACACTCCTTACCTGGGACTCTTGCTGCTTCCCATTTAACAACCCGCACTTCTAGAGGTTACAACAGCAACCAGGACTGCTGTCACTAAGTGATGCAGTCATGTGACATGCTTTACGACTGCATCGCTAAGTGATGGCAATCCCAGTCCCAATTGCTGTCATAACCTGAGGACCAATGTTGGATTTTACAAGATCTGCCTTGGGAACTGAAGACCTTCCATCAGAATCACGATAAATGCTGATGGAGCAGCAAGGGCAGTGGCTGCACATATTATTTCTTGTATGGAACTCTGCCCTGGCAAAGGCCAATTTGTCCATTGCCTGTGAGAACAGCTCTGACAGCTGCAACATCAGGGAATTAAAACTGTTGCCACAGTTTGGAGACTGATAATCATAGAAGAAGCAAAAACCATATTATGAGATGAGATTTATTTGATACCTAAATAAAGGTGAATTAAAGGAATAAGCTAGATAATGTACTCAGCTATTAAGAGGCTGGAGAAATCCTGTATGGGGAACATTTGGGCTATGTAGCTCAGAAAAGAGACATGACAGGGATACAAAGGAAAAATTGTGCACGCTGTCATGGTAGATAAGATTTTCAAAACTCCTAAAATGCAGGATCATTTAATGAAACTCAGTAGTGGGAGTTAGGTCAAAAAAAGTATTTCATACAGAGCTCAGTTAAGCTGGGATTTGCTATTAGAAGCTGTAGCAGTGGCTACCCAAATGGTTTGCTTTAAAAAGAGTTTAAACCAATTCATGGAGAGTAAGGATAAAATACAGTACAGTAGTTGCTATTCATGAGAATTGCATATTAATATAAGATGCAGAGAGATCTTGAGTAACATACAAGTACACTATTGCACATACAGTGCTATGAGACTTCCAATACACCTCTGAAGGATTCCCTTTCTCAGTTTGGACTATCTTTGGACTAATGAAGCACAGGTCTCAATCATTGTTTTGCTGGACCAAATTGTAATCCTGCAGCTGGAGCCTATTCGAGAAGAAGAGGGTTAATTGCAACGTTTCTAGAGTCCAGCCAAATAGTATTACCCGTACTACATGCTGCTGTGATCGTTCAGGGTTTTAATGCATCTCTCTTTAGGCCTCTGCTAGTCCACCTGTACAAAGGCAGCCCAGCACTGAGTGCTAAATGATATGGAGGGTGGCCCGGCGAGTGGGTCCTGCTTTCACACGCAGCTTTTCGAAAAAATGATTTATGGCGCTTGTTCCATCAGCGTCATATAAATGAACCGACGTGCCTCGACCAGGAGCTGTTAGGCACGAAAGTCAAGGCTGAAGCTTTCATATTCAGAGGCGATGTACCTCGGTATCTACGTCACCGGTCAATGAGTTCGGTGGTCCCGCGTTCTTGGGTCTTCTGCAGGGTTCTAGACAGTAACGCGGTGGGCAGAGTCTGATCCCGCTTTTCAGACGCCCCCAAAGCGATCTTTCTCTAGCCGAATTCCCTCGACAGCCGAGACAAGGCGCCACTGAGTACCCGGCGCTGCTCCGTCAACGGCGTCGCGTGGGCTCCGCCGCGGTTCCGGAAACAAGAAGGGGCTTCGCGTTCTGCGGTCATTTGCTAGCTGGGGAGGCGGCGCTGGGGTGTCGCGCACCGGGGAGGCGGGCGAGCTTGGGGACGTGGCAGAGCCAACGTTCGCCGCGGGCTCGCGCGGAAGGGTCGGCTCGCCAATGAGCGCGGCCTGGAGGCCGAATGGGCGGGCTGTATCGCGTGAGCGAGGGAAGGCGCGCGGCCCCTCTTTTCCTTGCGCGGGCGCGCGTTGATGATCGAAGAAGGCGAAGCCGTAGGAACGGGCAGGGAGGCTGATGGCTACGACGGCACGTTGGGAGGTGGTGCGGAAGCCCTCCCGCAGGGGGGCCACCGGGGGCAGCGGCGGCTCTGTAGGGCGAAAGGCACTGGGAGACGCCAACGGAGGACGCGGTCTGGCCCCGCCCAGTGAGTGAGGAGAACAGACACACAGTTGAGCCTCCATATGTAGTGATAGCCTAGCCTGCGCCCCTTACAGAGATCTCTGTGTTCGGAGATGTTCTTCCCAGGTGGCAGAAACGGGAAGGGCTCGCCAGTTAGCAGAAAGGAGTCTGGCCGTGTGCTGGAACACCACATTATGCTTTTCCTGTGGCTCTGCTTTGGCTGTTTAAGCCCAGCCCTGGGACAGACTTCCCTGCCACCGAACAGACAGGAGGCCTGGAAGGGAGGGAAGGAAGCAGAGATCTAGAGACCTTTCCAGTTATCATGTGGATGTTACACTGTCCTCATCTCTGACAGTGGGTCTTGACTGCACATCCATGGCTCTGAAACACCGGATCATTAGTTGCATGTTCAGAAACATTTCCCCTATATTTAAAATTGACTATACTTTCTACGGATTTGTTCTTTCTATGTTGAGTCCAATGGTGAGATAAAGTACATCTGGAACATGTAGAAGATGGGAACATGTATGTGCAAGAAGAAGCATTGCTCTGTAACAAAAGCACTTGAATATGTCCTTTTCAAAAACCATAGGACTTTTAATGCCAGATTTATTTTATGCAATATTTTTTTTAGCTGTGCACATAATGTGCTTAATAAATTAGATAATGACTTGAGAAAAGTATTTAGGTAACATACAAGATTAGTTTACCTTAGTTCCTACTTTGAGGCTTAGTGTTTGGCTAGTTTATTGTTTAATGTATTGTGTGAACCTAGAAAATGGGTTAATTCTTTAACTGATTTAAATATGTTGTGTGAACACAGGCCATCTCAGTGGTCAAGCTTCTTTTTTTTCTATTTTCATAGTTCCTTTTACTACTTCAGAAACTCTCTTTGAGCTTGGCTTTGAGAAATCAACAAAGAAGCAGAATAAAGAACAGGTGCCTCCGCCACCTGGACGCCAGCAGCAGAAAAAGCAAAATCCTGGAAAAAATGCTAAGAAAGGGACAGCTGGAGACAGCGGACAGAACAAGCAAATCAAATGCCGGACTCTGGAGGATGCACTGAAAGCGGTCAGTGGCATCTTTCTGAAAATTGTCTCTTCTGTATCTTTGTATTATATTGCTAATTAGAGGCTGCCCCTGAAACAGAGAAGGCAATGTGTAGAAAGCTGATGATTCATCTGGTAATGTTATTAGCTGCAAGTCTTTAATTGCAGCTATGTAGAAACAATAGTAGTTGACCCAAGAAGAATTAATTAACATAAGTTGTTGGTGTGCAATTTAAGTTAAGCTTACATTGCTCTTTCTCTGCAGAGGGAAGGTAAATTGCTACCTGGAGTTACTGTATTGGTTTCTAGTACTATATACCAGCTCAGGATAGCAAAGTTTGCAGAAGGACTTTGTAGTGGCTTTTCTTTCTGAAATATTCTTTATTTAGGAAAAAATAGTAGTAATGTTATGTGGGTAAGTATTTATCTTGTTTGTTTTCAGAAGAGTCCATCCTCAAACTCACACTTTAGGCTCCCTTGGTTTCTCCATGGAGTAGGTTCATATATGTAAGAGCTGTATAGCCTGCATGCCCCACAGCTACTTCAAAAGTTGTTATTGAACTGTAGTTTATACTTTTGACCAAGGGGATTATTACTAAACAAATGAGAAGAAATCATAACTATAATCTTATTTTATTTATATATAAATGAAGTTGAGTCAACTTTAGTTTTTGTCCTTTCCCTGCCTAATTTTTTAATTATCACCTCCTGATAATGTCATTCAAAGGACACATATAATCATTCCAGAAAGACTGTTGCTGCCCAGTTTGCATTATGATTTCAGCCCCCCCATCTGCAAATGAAACTGAGATTAGGTTGACAGTTCTTTCCTTTCCAGTTCTTCACTGTGCCTTTTTTTAAATTCCAGCTTGATTTATCAGAACTCCAGAGAGAGCTTGATAAAAGCTTGAACCTGTTCCCAGAAAACCCTTCTGTGTGGGTCAAAGATCTAGCTGGATATTTGAACTACAAGTTGCAGGCCATGAAGAGCGAGCCCACCCTCAGTCAGCACCCTCATGGTTGGTGGCACCAAGGAAATAATGTTGCTGTCTGTCATTCCAAGAGTGGGAGTACTATTATTAGAATAAGCATGCATGTACTAGAGGTAGCTGTTCAAACTGTTTTTCTTGGGGTAGCCCTTTCTGGGAGAGAACAGATATTCCTTGATTCAGTCAGATCACTTTAGGCCTCATAGAATTATCTTTCATCAGCTTTGTTTGGCTGTCCAGCTCCAGTGGGACAGCCTGACCACAACAGTTAATGCCCTGGTATGCTTCCAACTGAATTATTCTGCTTAGAGCTATACAAAGGAAAGTGGAATGCAGAAGTTGTCAGACTGCGGGGGGGGGGCTTGTAGGGGGACCTACACTTGCTCCCACTCTGTCTAGATGTGTTTGGCCTTTGCTGAGCTGCTGGGGCTGCTTTGGGCCATATGTGAGATCCAGGCACTGGAATTATTTCAGTGGCCTTTGCATTCACAGCAACAGCTCCTGCAACAGCCTCAGCCTCAGCCTGCTCCTGAGCGCTACCCAAGGTGACTTGGCCAGGATCAAGGCGTTCTTGCCTGGTCTCATCTTCTTTCAAGACCGGCTGTTCCTGGGGCTGTTCAGATGGTCCTGATGCTGAGTCTCACGCCCACTCTAGGCAGCCTGTGTGTGCTGGCCTCCCGTAGAAGAGGCACAGTGCGCAGGCTGCCAGCCTTACCCCCAAGAAGCCCAGGAGGAGCTACCCTTACAGAAGGTGAGACTGAATGGGAACCCTCTCAGAGTGTAATCTGCCAGTTTTAGTTAGGGAGAGGTCCTATAGATATATTATTTTAGCAGATAAGGGCACCTGCTGTAATTTATCCCTTCTCCGATTGAAGTGAAAGTACAGCACAACTTTATTTAGTCTTGGCCTTTTTCCTCAACTTGTGGTATGATGCTGCTGAAGTAGCAACTATACTCACAGGTTCTAATAGTCTGTACAAGTAACATCCTAGCACACTCGGGGATGTGCTGCTCTTTTTCAGAAGTGGCCTCCTGATCATACCCCACTTAGGGTGCTTTTTTTCAGCACAAATGTGGAAAAGTTGTGGTAACAGTGCTCTATGAATGCTGACTAAAATCTTGATCTTGCTATTATTATTTTTGGCTGCAGACTATCCCTACTGTCTAGTGAACAAAGAACTACGAGGCATCATCAAGTCCCTGCTGTTGAAAGCTGGGGGTGTCCTGGAGCTTTTCTTTGACCACTGTATTTACACAATGTTGCAAGAGCTGGATAAGACTCCTGGTAAGATAAGGGCAAAGTACAGTAGAGACCAGCTGATATATCCTTGGATCAAAGCTTCTGCCACGCAGGCAAAGGACACTTAAGCATAATTAAGAACAGGATGATGATGTTTTTTATGTGTAGCTAATGGCAGGCAGTTTTTCAAGAACTTTACATTTTGGAAATGAGTTCTAAAAGAAGTGGAAGCATAAAGGTAGCTTCCTAACAAAGGATGTAAAGGAGGGGGAAAGTGCTCTGCTGAACTTGATGTTTTATCCTATGGCCGTGATACAAGCAGTATGTGGACCATAGGCATTTGAGTTGGGGACAAAGTTTTCAGGCATGAGAGGATGTGTCAGCTATGGCATCAGCAAAAGGAGCAAGAAAAGATTCAGTTGAGGAATTTAGTGAGAGTAATATTGGAATGCAGAATAAGAGTTGATGATCATAGCAGAAAGACCAGGGTGGAAAAACAACCCTTTTGTGTTGCAGTAATGAAGATCTGAGAACAAATGGGCCCAGTGAACCCTTAATTTAAAGGATGCTCATTTAGTGGACTTTGGATGCAGTGGACCAAATTTCTGTCTGTGCACTCCACCAAATGATAAGTATATGGTGCACTTGAAGAAGTCCAGACAAGGCAGTTGAACCTTGACTTTATGAAATCTGCAGCCATTTACATCATTTCTGTAATGGCATCATTTTGCAAATGGTATAATGTGTGTCAGTTTACATCACTGAGTAATTATATGATTACACA